CACTTCATGCATAATCCTTGTATGGGCTCCCTTCTGGGAAATGTGAGTCCGGAAGCCAGCAGACTACCCAGTGATCAACAAGTGTTCTGGAGCCTGCAACTTTCACAGGTTGGTGTCTTCGAACTCCCTGTGGCCGAGTAGAGAATTTCCCTCACTCTAGTGGAACACATTCCCCATGATTTTTATCATGAGATCAGTCGGGTGTCTTCTTGTATAGCATAGACTGTGGCAATGTAGCAATTGTTGCTTCTTTTCTCCTTTGCCCTACCTCAGACCCTCTAGGCCAAGTGTCTGGGAATTAAACGATTCTAAAATGACTACATCTTTTTTCCTTCTCTGGGTACTGTTGGGAGATATGAGGTACCAACTTTAATGAGATAAGACAATCATATATAATTGAATTGTTCTTAAGCCAATTAAGAGCACACGTGTAAGGATAATTAAAATGGAATTAAACATCCTTTGTGGCAAGAAATTTAGTTCATCTTCTCTGTCTTTGTTCCAAAATCATAAAACATATTTTTGCTTAGGTGGACATCTTTGAAATAGTTCTTCTTTTGACTTTGTCATAAAAGACTATGTGCCTCTCTGAAGCGTCTTTATTCTGATATTCTTAAGCATTTCGAACCATACTAAATAATAGCAGTGTAAGTTCCTATTTCTCACATTGCTCATAACATGTTTCAGAAGTAGAAAATAAAAAGTTTTACATTTTTCTCAGTTTTCTAACGTTTCCTCCAAGCAGAGTCACTCTCAGTAAATGACCTCAGCTCTGTTTCATGAGACTATTTATGCCATTTAATAAGAATTAAGCAACATTTTTTTCATATATATGTATTTTTTAACATTTTTGCCTCTAGATTTGGCCTTTGCCTCTACTTCTGAGAAGAGAAGCTTCTTCCTAATTCTGGTGTAAGGTTTTTATTGTGAAATATTTCAAACATATAGAAAAATACACATGCTAGTAGAACAGACACCTACATACCCGACATCTCAACTCAACAAATACTAGATTTTTTGAATAGAAACAACTTGTAAAATTTTATATATTTGTAAGATTGGCTAGTACAGTCTCTCTCATATCGTCCTGCTTCTCTTTCTTTTGTAATAAAGGTTATATTATTTTTATAAAGTCAATTGAAGAGGTTTTTTCTTTTTTTCTGAAATATATATGTAATGAAATAGGGAGTTCCAGAGTCAAGAAAGTAAGTCTCCCTCCCCACATACAATTTATCTTTAGAGCCGTGTATAATTTGTATAATTTGTGCTTTGTGTATTTGTGGGAAAGAGGGCACAAACTCATTTTTTAAAAAGTTTTTACACATTTATCTTTCTCTTTTCAGGTTAAATTTGGAAATGTATAAAACTTAAAATAATTTGTCTTCAATGACATTGCAAAGAGTCATAATAATATGCTTTTTAAAATCTACTTTTAATTATAATTACATCTACCTTTAAATATGTACTCTATCAAGTATTGTGTCCTTACCTTTCATTCCTCTTCACATTTGTTTATACCATCTCAGGCCAGAGGTGTCTTTTAAGAGCTTAATAAAAAATATTTTTTATTGTTGATGGGGGTTTTCATTATTGTTTTCTGTTTAATGAATGTCTGCTTTTTTCTTTTCATCTTTCCTTCTTTCTAATTATCCTTTAGTTCATTCATTAACTTCATTATTTTTACATGTAAACTTTTAATTTTCAATTTTTTTCTACCCTCTAATATATGTAATTTACTTTTAAAATCAGTTGAGTGGCATTTAAAAAAATTTGGTACCATTAAAAATTCAAGTACTTTATAATTTCCGTTACAGTTTTTTTTTCTGTAACGTGTAAAGTACATACAAGTGTGCTTTTGAATGTCTAAACATATAATGGACGTGTGGGGTATTAGATAATTGATACCTTTGTAATATAGTACTGTATTTAATTTCTTTTGGGGCAGAAAGATGAGGCTTTAGATTATTCTTCAGTATCTGTTGAGACGCACTGGACAGTTGTGTTATGTTTTGTTTTCTTGTTGCTTTTGAATGCTGGGGAAAAAACTCCTTTCTCTAATGGCTCAGTACAATGCCCTGTATTAAATTTGTTGGTTCAAGATTGATTATTGAGTTGTAAAAGTCCTCTGTAACCTTGTGTTAAAGACAATTTTTTTTTATCCAATCTATCAGGTTTTGGTAATATATGTTAAAACTTTCTGGTAACATTATGTGATGTTAATTTCTTTATTACCTGAGTTTGACATTTTGAGGCTGTACTATTTAAATGAATGTAGGTTCAAGGTCACTGTATATTTGCAGTAGGTTAATCCTTATACACTTAAAGAATGATCTTTCTCATCCCTAGTAATAGATTTTTTTACCTTTGTTTATCTGGTCTGATGTTAGTATTGCAGTTGGCTTTTTTGTTGTTTTGAATTTCTGATTAGTAGTTTTTAGTTTATTGTTTGTTTTCTAATTATTATTCTTTCCATATAATTTTTATTTTAAGTGTATTTCTTCTAAGCAGCAAGTAAATGGATGTTATTTTTAAAATCTAATGTGAAAATCCAGTTACCTTTATTGTGATTGTTTTGTGCTTAATTTTATTTAATTTTTTTCCTCCTTTTCTGCCTTCCATTCAATTGAGTTTTTCCATCTATCCATTTATTTGGATATTATAATTCTTTTTTTTTCTTCCAGTAGCTATGTACAGTTTTAACAAAATAAAGAACTAGTTCATATGGCTGTTCCCAAAGCATATCAGAGTTTTATAGTGCTCTCATTTCAATTACATCTTACCATGTTGCATATAGTTATTGTGAAGTATTTTATTTCCACTTTGTTTGATTCCTCCATAAGTCATTAGTATTATTTTTTACAATGAATGTTTGTTTGGATTTACTCATGTCTATTATTAGTCTCTTTGCTTATCCTTGCTTGTGCAACCATTGCATTTCTTCTTTGATAAAATTTCTTTATTTGTTAAGAACATACACTAGTGGTTATTTTAGCAAGATTCTCTAAGGGATAGAGTTTCGGTTTAGGATGCCAAAAACATTCTTATAATTGCCGTCATTGTCATTTTTTAGAGACATAGTTATAAATGAAATTCTAAATTGACACAATTTCTCTTGCCCTTTTGAAGAGATTTAACTGTCTTCTTTATTGATTTATTGATAACATTTCTATTCATCTCATTGTAATTTCTTGGAGATAATCAAGTTTTTGTTAAAAATGGTTTTAAGATATTCCTTTTATTATTGATGTTTGGAGATTTCAACACTAGATGGAGGAATGGGTATTTATCTCTCTTGAGATTTGGTATGTAGCTTTTATTTAAGAACTTTAATGATTATTTCAATTCTGAAAAATATTTAGCTATTCAAATATTGCCTCTCTGCAATCTATTTTTTTAAAATTCAGAACCTTCTATAAATATGCATTTTAACTTCTTATTACATTCTTTGTATTTCTTCCCTATCACATTTTGACTCATCATTTTTACACTACCCTCTAATTATTTCCTTAAGTTTGTATCTTACTCAATAATTTTTTTCTCCACTGAAACATTTTTAAATGTCTTAATTAAATTTGTATTTCTAGAAGTATTATTTGGTTCTCTTTAAAGGTTGACTGTTTTTTATTATAGTATCCTATTTTTTCATAATTAAAAAAATTCACTCTTTTATCTTTAGTTATTTGAAACAAGGATTGGCAAACTGTTTCCGTCAAGGGCCAGTGAGTAAATGCTGTAGGCTTTACAGGCCAGGTGATTTCTGTAACAACTCTTCAGCTCCACATTGTAGTGCAAAAGCAGACATACACAATATGTAAACAATTGGACACGATGTTGTTCTAGTAAAACTTTATTTGGTAAAACAAGTGTTGGACCAGATAGAAATCATGAGCCATAACTTTTCTGACCTCTGATTTAAAACACACTCTTTATAATCACATTCAAGTAGTTATCGTAGCTCAAGTAATGGAATGACAATTCTGTCTGTGTTTGATGCCTCAGTTGATTGTCCCTTGTAGTATGTTATTTTCTTGTGTGTCATGATTTTGAGATGTGAACTCTACATTCAGCTTTCTGTTGGAGGTCAGTGTGCCTTGAGTTGTGGAATTATCCTGCAGAGCATATTTGCTTTTCAGACATAGTGGCTAATTTATTTTTATTTTTTATTTTTTGAGAGTTTCACTCTGTCATTGAGGTTGAGTGCAGTGGCACAATCATGGCTGACTGCACTCCTACCTCCTGGGCTTAAGCGATCCTCCCACCTCAGATTCTGGGGTAGCTGGGAACACAGGTGCATGCCACTACACCTAGCTAATTTTTAAAAAATATTTTTTGTGGAGATGTGGTCTCACCATTTTGCCCAAACAGGCCTTAAACTCCTGAGCTCAAGCAAGACTTCTGCCTCAGCCTCCCAAAGTGATGGGATTATAAGCTTGAACCACTGCGCCCAACCTATTTTTTTTTTAAATGCTTTTTAAATTATCACCCGTGGAAATGCCTTAAATAGGAACCTTCTGAAATAATCCGGTGCTTAGTGCATTGCCTGACACATGAGGAACACACAGCTATTTTTGCTATAATTATCCCTATTAAAATTAACAGTACTGTTGTTTCTGTTATCACTAATCCTAGGTCTTATAGAACTTACATAAATGGTAGTTGTTACTGTTCATGCATTTGGAGTTTTTGAAAACTCTGATTAACTGGAAACTCACAACTAATTTTTTTTTTATTGGAACCTGGTGCTACTTTGAGCTGAAAATATAGAAGATATTGAGTGAAGTATGCATTATGAAAACTAAAGATAACTGAAGCCAGACATAAACATAATGGAAGAAGCTTTGGGAATTTCTCTTCTGAAATACCATTTGTAAAAGGGATAGAAAAAAACATATAATTGAATATACATGTTCACTAGATATACATGGCTGTGTTTGTGTGTACGTACATACACATTTCCCTCTACCTGTAGTAAATTCATGCCTCTTGCTTGTTCGTCACAGGGCACTTGAAATGGACCAAAGCTGAGGACATTGACATAGAAACCCCAGGATCTATTCTTGTCAACACTAACTTGAGGGCATTAATAAATAAACATACGTTTGCTTCTTTACCTCAGCATTTTCAACAATACCTCCTGCTTTTGCTCCCAGAAGTGGATAGGCAGGTAAGTAGAAGTTTTAGACATTTGATATCAGCCACTAGTTACATTATGATGAAGAGGCAGGGCTGTTATCAAAGATGATTTATATACAGATATAGTATATTTCTGTAATTTATGTGTATCTATTTATTGCTGTCATTAGCTTATTTAATCTGCTAAAACAGAACCATTTTTATTCTTAATAGTGAGCCAATTCACATTTTAAAATACGGTACATTGTGGTAGAGTGAAAACTATAAACTTACATTGGAAAGGCAAAACAAAGAAATCAAGCATTCCATTATCAAATAAATCTTTAGAGTAGCTGCTCCTTTGCCCAGAGGGAATATTGAAATGCAGCAATAAAAAGCCAGGGTTTCTAAGAAATTATGTAAATGTTTTCATCCTCAACTATTTCCAAAAGGCATTTAAAATTTATGTTTGCAATTGCTCTCTGAGAGTCTATCAGTATGAATATGATTGCCTATAAATAATCACCTTTTACCATTTTAAAAATATATCTGGAAATGCTTTAAGTGTATTTTTATATTTTTGAAAAGCTTCTAAAATAAGGAAATACAAATATAGATGCATAATAGCAGGCATCAATCATCTTTTAAGGCTGTTTGCTTAGGAAGGAAAAGGAAAAAAATTTCATCACATAAACTTTTATTAAATTTCACAAAATTTATTAACTGCTGTCTATGAAACTTTCCCTTATGATTCTTATTTCAGTAAATTCTGAAACTGTGTATCATTTTCAATTGATGGACTTAATGCATGTATATTTATGAATTTGTGTCTTGAGATGATAGGTACATCCATGAATTGAAGTGGACAAAATTCATTCAATATTTCCATATTACTTTGAATAAGTTTTCTTAGCTTTTTATTTGATTCTGTTTTCTACTGACTTATCCATCTTCTTTCATACATATTTAAATATGATAAGCAACATATATGTATCTCTTTGGTGGTGATTATTGTTCATATTTGGAAAGAGATTATTTTGATTTTGGGTACATTTTCATTTCAATAGGAGTTTTTTCTCTTTCAACAACATTTACTTAATATCTACCCTGAATATGATATGTTCTGGGTGCTTTGGAGTAATAGCAAGACAATAAATACTTATTGAATGAGTGATTAAATGCACTGTAGTTGGATACATAAACTGTGTTTGTAAATAACCAAAATATGAGTTAGAAACAGGTAAGCTTGAGGGGAAAAGTACAAAGTATATTGCCCTTTTATATGCAGAAGGGAAATATCAAGAGTCAAATTTAAAGTTCTTGAATTGGGCCTTGAGATACAGAGGTAGAATTTGAATTAAATGAATGGAAAAGTGCCAAGTGAGAGTCCAAGGGTACAAAATCAAAAGCTAATTTGGTGGAAGTCTGGACTGTAGGAAGAATGGTGCAAGTGATTTTGGAAGGACAGATTGGAAGTTGACTTTGGAATACCGCTTGAATATGAAGCTGAGGAGTCTGAATGGCGTTCTCCCTGCAGCTGTAATACAAAGCCATTGAGGGATTTTGAATGGGGCTATGATGTAATAAGACCATTACTTTTTAAGGAAATTATTCTGACAGTACTGAAAGAGAATGACAGGCATGGGAAACATGAAAGTAGAATAGTTTTAAAGGAATTTTAGTTGTTCCCAAAAGGTATAATGAGGGCTTGATTTTGGAGGATTGAGTTGAAATTAAAGAGGAGGAGAAAAATGCAGCTGTCATCATCCTTATCCTCATTCTCCTTCACCGCCTCGTCCTCCAGTAGTAACAATTTTACATTTTGCCAAATAACACTTGAAGCAGGTATAGGAAGGAGCCACTGATGACTCTTCAGTTACAAGCTTGTGTGACTTAGAATTTAGGGGTTAGAAACTTTTGGGGGAGAGATCTGATTTATTAGCTTATACAACAACTTCCTCCACTTCAACACAGGTGTAGTTTACAAATCTGTCTCCAGCTTCAGAAATAAGGTTTGGCATCTACAGCTGTGTTAGTCCATTTGCATTGTTATAAGAATGCCTGAGGCTGGGTAATTTATAAAGAAAAGAGATTTATTTGGCTCATGGTTTTGCAGGCTATACACAAAGCATACTGTTGGCATCTGCTTCTGATGAGGACCTCAGGAAGCTTATTCTCATGGTGGAAGGTGAAGTCATGTCATATGGCAGGGGAGGGAGCAAGAGAGAGAGGAAGGAAGTGCCAGACTCTTGTAAACAACCAGATCTCTCTTGAACTCACAGAGAGAGAACTCACTTACTGCTATGAGGACAGCACCAAGACATTCATGAGAGATCTGCCCCCAGGAGCCAAACACCTCCCACTAGGCCCACCCCCAGTATTGGAGATCACATTTCAACATGAGGCTTGGAGGGGACACAACCCCCAAAACATACCAACAGTGTACTCAATACATATTTTTGTAATGACGAAAGAAGATTGTCCTAGTTTTAGTAAAATATTGGTGGCCAGAGTCTAAGCCTAATATTTTCTTCAACCTATAGCAGTTTGTGTTACTCAGTTTTTTCTAGTCGCTGTGAGAAATATAATTGAATAAGGCACGATGCTCGTCCTTGAATAACACTTAGTCCATTGAGAAACTTACTTTATTCAAAAAATATTTACTGAGCATATATTGTGTGCTGTATGCAGGAATGGATCTTGTGGAGGATACAAGAATAAATCTTGTGGAAGAATAACAGAAGGGAGGAAAACAACTTCATATGGAAATGTAATACTCTGTTGACTACTAGAAAAGAAGTTTAATAAATGGATAATTGTTTTACCAAGTTTAGTATAAAACCAGTTAGAATCATATAAATGTCATAATAGAAGTATAAAGAAAGTCTTTTGAAGATGTAGAGGATGAAGAAGTTTAATCTGAATGTAGTACTGGAGAAGATTTTTATAGTAGAGAGGATGCTTAAGTTGAACCTTAAAGGACTGGTAGGTGTTTCTTAAGTAGAGCCAAAGAAAAGTGAATTTTACAAAGGAAAGGCCTGCTATTTACAAATACATATTGCTTGTGTGTTCCAGAAGATTTAGTATCTCCGTATGACTGGAGCCACCTAAAGGAGAAAATGGGGGGCTATTCTGCTGAAGGGGAATATGGTCTACAACCTTGATGGCCTGATTGTAGGCTAAACTCTTTGAACTTTTTCTGACACCAGTAGGTACCATCAAAAACTTGTCAAATGGGAAATGACATGCAAGAAATAGTTTAAACATGTATTCTCATGCCTGGGCATAGGAGAAGGGAAGAGAATCCAAAGGATACATAAAATGCAGTCCTTATTTTCTTTTTTGGGAGCAAGTATCTCTGTGAATGATGGGTTGGACAGCAAAAAGATAAGACACAGACGGGCTGGTTAGGAGACAGTTGCAGTAGTTGAGGTATGAGATAAATGTTTGACCTTGGTATTGGAGTTGGAAATGAAAGGAATGAATTCCAGACATATTTTCTACCAGGATGAATAGGAATAAATGACAGCTATAAAATGGGATTGTTAAAGATCTAGAAGACAACTAGAGATTTTTTCTAGAGTGACTTAAGAAAGAGAAGCTCTGTGGGCCTGTCAGCATTTTATAGCAAGAAATTTAGAGTTATTATGCTCTTTCTGTCAAAGGTGGGCTCAACCTTCTTTTCTAGCAGAAAGGGATAGGTGACTTGGTGCAACAAACTAGCAAAACTGCTGCTGTTTTAGTCTAGCTTATTGCAAATGTCCAAATGAAGATGAACACCATTATTTCGTGGCCATAATGAGTGGAGATGGCATGGGAATGGGAATTTGATTACATAGATTTATTAGAGCCAGTGGAAGGTCCTACAATTATGTGAAATACCTAAAATTTCAATTATGTCTTCACATAGTTTACAAAATCTGAAACTCCTCACTTTCTTGTTTTCCTCCTTTGACTACCCCAAGTTTTTACTGTTTTCTAGTATGAAGTAGTCCTAAAAAGACCTCCTACTCTGGACCCATGTGAAACGGGTTCATTCCAGTATTACATCCTCAAAATATGGGAACTGAGTTTCACATTTATCTTGACAATGCCGGCTGTTAAGACAGTCTTTCTGGGTGTTTTGTTTTCCTATATTTGTACTTCTCATTCTGTTTTTTAAAGTTCTGTTTATCTTAGATTATATTTTAAATTTACCCCAGTTTTATCACATTGCTGTATCTAGTTTTATATTTAAGTTTATTCTTCATACATTATACTGCAAGTAAAAGAAAGTCCAACTCAAAGATTTTTAAGTCATAAAAGGACATTTGTTGGCTCAGTTAATTAGAAGATGGAAGTTTGAGTGGGCTTCTTGTTGTTGGTCCTAGGTCTCAGTTATTATTGAAGGTCCATTTAATTATTTAAATAAATACTTCCTAAAATCTTCTGCCTTGCTGATATTTTCTAAACCCGAATCTCTTTGTGTAGGATGGCTACCTGAATCAAGATGTGAGCACTTGCCTCAGTGCATGGGGAGAATACTAGTATTTCAAGCAAAAGACCTAAGATTCACACTATTGGTACCATTTAGATCACATGATCATTTCTTAAACAATGACTATAGCCAAGGGAATGGAATATACAAATTGACCTAAACCAAATATGCCCGTCCTTGGAGCTTAGAGAGTGTGTTCATCATCTCCTGAAGTAAAATGGTGCACTTATGGTAGAGGTCAGATATACTGTAAAAATCTGTTTTTTACAAATTTTACCAGGGGATATATGGGTTGGGGTAGATGCTTGGTAGGCAATTAACAGCGCCTGTTGAAGAGGAGTCGAAATTAAGTTTTATTTTTGACATGTTGGATTGAAATGCTTCCACTATTTGAAATGTCCAGAAAGTCATTATGTATGCAGGTTTTAAGACAGTAGAAGATGGAGTTAGTGATAACATATTCATAGATTATTGTGTCTGCTATGGGATTTGATGAGATTGGGAGATAGCATAGTCATCACAGAGAAGTACATGTATTTGTGGAGAGTGTGGATAAGAAAGAGGATGGGAAAGAG